GATGTGGCCTGCTCCGTGCTTGCTGTTGAAGATTCCACAGTAGCACTTGTAGTTGATCCCCGTGTGGAATCTGATGTTATCTCTGTACTGGAGGAAGAGGTCGAAATGCTGGAAGAAGTCTCGCTCGTCAGTGAGGACGTAGGAACTGTGTTTGTAGACATTCCAGTGGATGACGTGACCTGCTCCGTGCTTGCTGTTGCGAATTCAGTTGCAACACTCATTGTTGATGCGTCAGTGGGGGATGTCACTTCCTCTGTAGATATAGTTGCAGAACTGTAGGGTGCAACATCCGTTCCTGCTTTCAAGCTACTAGATGACTGTGAGGAGAGGTCTGTTGGAACTTGAGAAGGAGATGTTGAAGTTGTTTCTGTCGTTGGCGAGCTCCCAAGTGTAGAACTTTCAGTCGATCCTTGTGTAGATTTCGATGTAATCTCTGTACTGGAGGAAGAGGTCGGTGTGCTGGAAGAAGTTTCACTTTTCAGCGAGGACAAGGGTAGGGTGCTTGTAGATTTGCCAATAAAGAATGTGGCCTGCTCCGTGCTTGCTGTTGAAGATTCCACAGTAGCACTTGTAGTTGATCCCCGTGTGGAATCTGATGTTATCTCTGTACTGGAGGAAGAGGTCGGAATGCTGGAAGAAGTCTCGCTCGTCAGTGAGGACGTAGGAACTGTGTTTGTAGACATTCCAGTGGATGACGTGACCTGCTCCGTGCTTGCTGTTGCGAATTCAGTTGCAACACTCATTGTTGATGCGTCAGTGGGGGATGTCACTTCCTCTGTAGATATAGTTGCAGAACTGTGGGGTGCAACATCCGTTCCTGCTTTCAAGCTACTAGATGACTGTGAGGAGAGGTCTGTTGGAACTTGAGAAGGAGATGTTGGAGTTGTTTCTGTCGTTGGCGAGCTCCCAAGTGTAGAACTTTCAGTCGATCCTTGTGTCGATGTCCATGTAATCTCTGTACTGGAGGAAGAAGTCGGTGTGCTGGAAGAAGTTTCACTTTTCAGCGAGGACAAGGATAGGGTGCTTGTAGATTTGTCAGTAGAGGATGTGGCCTGCTCCGTGCTTGCTGTTGAAGATTCCACAGTAGCACTTGTAGTTGATCCCCGTGTGGAATCTGATGTTATCTCTGTACTGGAGGAAGAGGTCGAAATGCTGGAAGAAGTCTCGCTCGTCAGTGAGGACGTAGGAACTGTGTTTGTAGACATTCCAGTGGATGACGTGACCTGCTCCGTGCTTGCTGTTGCGAATTCAGTTGCAACACTCATTGTTGATGCGTCAGTGGGGGATGTCACTTCCTCTGTAGATATAGTTGCAGAACTGTAGGGTGCAACATCCGTTCCTGCTTTCAAGCTACTAGATGACTGTGAGGAGAGGTCTGTTGGAACTTGAGAAGGAGATGTTGGAGTTGTTTCTGTCGTTGGCGAGCTCCCAAGTGTAGAACTTTCAGTCGATCCTTGTGTAGATTTCGATGTAATCTCTGTACTGGAGGAAGAGGTCGGTGTGCTGGAAGAAGTTTCACTTTTCAGCGAGGACAAGGGTAGGGTGCTTGTAGATTTGCCAATAAAGAATGTGGCCTGCTCCGTGCTTTGCTGTTGAAGATTCCACAGTAGCACTTGTAGTTGATCCCCGTGTGGAATCTGATGTTATCTCTGTACTGGAGGAAGAGGTCGGAATGCTGGAAGAAGTCTCGCTCGTCAGTGAGGACGTAGGAACTGTGTTTGTAGACATTCCAGTGGATGACGTGACCTGCTCCGTGCTTGCTGTTGCGAATTCAGTTGCAACACTCATTGTTGATGCGTCAGTGGGGATGTCACTTCCTCTGTAGATATAGTTGCAGAACTGTGGGGTGCAACATCCGTTCCTGCTTTCAAGCTACTAGATGACTGTGAGGAGAGGTCTGTTGGAACTTGAGAAGGAGATGTTGGAGTTGTTTCTGTCGTTGGCGAGCTCCCAAGTGTAGAACTTTCAGTCGATCCTTGTGTCGATGTCCATGTAATCTCTGTACTGGAGGAAGAAGTCGGTGTGCTGGAAGAAGTTTCACTTTTCAGCGAGGACAAGGATAGGGTGCTTGTAGATTTGTCAGTAGAGGATGTGGCCTGCTCCGTGCTTGCTGTTGAAGATTCCACAGTAGCACTTGTAGTTGATCCCCGTGTGGAATCTGATGGTATCTCTGTACTGGAGGAAGAGGTCGGAATGCTGGAAGAAGTCTCGCTCGTCAGTGAGGACGTAGGAACTGTGTTTGTAGACATTCCAGTGGATGACGTGACCTGCTCCGTGCTTGCTGTTGCGAATTCAGTTGCAACACTCATTGTTGATGCGTCAGTGGGGGATGTCACTTCCTCTGTAGATATAGTAGCAGAACTGTAGGGTGCAACATCCGTTCCTGCTTTCAAGCTACTAGATGACTGTGAGGAGAGGTCTGTTGGAACTTGAGAAGGAGATGTTGGAGTTGTTTCTGTCGTTGGCGAGCTCCCAAGTGTTCTTGCAGACGTCAGTAAAACTGTGATATAAAACTGTAATACTGGCATACTACTGGTATAAGTATATGCCCACAAAGTCACATACAAATTAAGACACACACACACACACACACACACACACACACACACACACACACACATAAGACACACACTCGCCCCCACCCAGGCATGCACAAAGATACATACAAACATGATATTTTGGTGATAAGCTTTATGGTTGAAATTAAAATATACACCCTTTCATTCACAACAAATGTGTTCCTTCGTTATTCAATTACAAAACGGCAAAAATGCAATAAATCCTATGAAAAAAGAAATTAGGATCCATGACTATGCAACCTAAATTTGAGACTGCTGTTATCAGAACCATAACACGTATGTTTAGGGAAATATAATGTAGAAAATACAGTCGACATGTAAAATTAGTGTCACTTACTCTCAAACACTTTAGTTCCCAGTGTATCGAAAGACGTATCGCAATACGGGTACCTGACTCGCAATATATTGCAATACAATTTATTTGCCACTACACAGCCCTACCAATAACTATAGACGTTGAATGAATGTAGCATTAAATAATGTCTTACCTGCAACTAATACGCATTTAACGTCAAAATGCGGCCATTCCATGGTGGCCTTTCTTGTAGTCTGAAAAAGAATTCACCATCTGTTCACAACACATGCGCAAAATGATAATGCCATTTGGATTGTTGTTATTCCCATGTCAGTTTGTTATGATAGTGAAGCTGATAGTAGTTGTGGTCGTCTCTAGTAATAGTTTTAATGGTAGTAGTAGGAGTGAGTGAGTGAGTTTGATTTTACGCCGCTTTTAGCAATATCCCAGCAATATCTCGGCGGGGGACACCAGAAATGGGTTTCAAACATTGCATCCATGTGGGGAATCGAACCTGGGTCTTCGGCGTGAAAGGCGGACGCTTTAACCACGAGGCTACCACACCGCCCCTGGTAATAGGAAGCGCAGCAATAGTAATGTCGGTAGTAGTAGTAGTAGTAGTAGTAGTAGTAGTAGTAGTAGTAGTAGTAGTAGTAGTAGTAGTAGTAGTAGTAG